ATGGAATGGAATGGAATGGAATGGAATGGAATGGAATGGAATGGAATAGAATAGAATAGAATAGAATAGAATAGAATAGAATAGAATAGAATAGAATAGAATAGAATAGAATAGAATAGAATAGGCTATTATTTTTAAATATTAATTTCATATTAAAATCCATCATCAATAAAGCTTTTAGAGAAGAAGACTTTTAGAGAAGAAATAATGATCCCAGTGAAATCAGACATGAACCTCCCAAACATCTGTGTGGGATTATTCAGAGGCACTCAATTCCCACGAAGAAAGCAATCTCAGTTCTAACAAAATCCCTCTGCTACAACTTTGTACACACAGAGAACCCTGCTAGGTAACCCTGAGGTCAGCTCCATGTGAAGTTTATCTGGAGAACAAGGAAAACAGGGTAGTGATCATAGAAATCAAGGTTCCTCATATATTACAGAACCCGAATGCCCTACTGTAGTGAGAATTCTATCGTATGGGGAAAACAAAGAAGTACAGTAATATCAAAATCACTTTAGAGACCAAAGAGTAGGGATATCAGCTAGATGATGAAAATGTAATCAGTCTGGCAACAGGAGAACAACAATGCACACAACTTAATTGTTAGCTTTATTGTGTTGTGTGCCCAAAAATGCATTAATGTCCAAAATGCTCTGGAGTGGCTCCATTACTAGGAACATAGCACACTGCAGACAAATCTTGAGCAGAGGCTGAGTGTGGGTGTTCAGCACTGCTTACATCTGAGGAGGGGCTCTGCAAGGTATCTCATACCTCACAGTGAGAGCAGTTTTTCAGCTCAACCTCCATCTTCTCAGAAATGGCATCTGAAGTCCAGCGCGCCAGGCAGTAGTCAATGGCCACCATCACCGTGTGCTTCAGCAGCTGGGACAGAACCAGCAGTGGCAGGAGGAGTATCCCTGCTGCACTGAGGTACTTCCCACATGCTCTCCAAGGCATCTTTGCTCTCTGATGTAGCACAGACGACAGGTTGTCTTCATCATCACTTTCTGTTGCTTCTTCTGCAATGTCCAAAAAAATAAATAGAAAAAAAGAGTACAGTCACACTGACTTCCCCTTACGCACCTTTCACAGGAGCTGGCAAGTGGCAACTTCAAAATACAAGTTATCATACAGCAAAAAGGCTTTCAGGCGAAATTATTCGCTCAGGTAAGCACGTATTACCTTGCTAAGGTTATAATAATAAGTAATACGTGCTGAGAAGATGCACTAAGCACAGTACTAGTTGTTCAACGTCTTCAGCCACATTTAGCAACTTAGAAGTGCTGGCTTGATTTAAAAAAGGAAGTGATTTTTTTCCTATGTAATACCTTAAACAAGTGTGCTCAGCTGTTGACAGGTTTGAAGCTCATCCAACATGAATTAGTCAAAATTAATTCATCTCTTGCTATCAAATTATTTTAAGTATATTAAAAATCCCTCAGAAGTTTGACAGATGCTATGACTTCTGATGGTTTGAAAACATTAATCCAGAGATAAACTCAATGGAAACAGCACTCTTAGAAACCACGACCTACCTGAACACCAAGGACTCTCCTGCTGGTTTGAAAGTTGTTAATTCATTGTAATATAATTAAACTGTAAAACAGCAGTGTAGTGGTGCTGGGCATAAAGGGTACCCTTTTACCTTCATCTTCTTCATCATCTTTCAACAGTGCTTCACGGGAATACATAGTCCTCCGGAGATTTGTTCTTTCCAGAACAGTTTTAGTTTCAATTGTAGTCTCCTAAAAAGGAATGGTTT